TCCTTTTTTCTGCATTTCTATACTACTGGATCAGTCCATTTATATCCCACGAGAGGGGTGAATCGCTCTTTTCGCGCCAAATGTCACTTAGTAAGCTCATGACTTTTCCTTGGATTGTTCTATTGTGTGAATGGGTGTGCTAACTTCTATATGGAATTAAATAAAGTTGGTCCTTTTAACCTCCTTCTAATACTTCAGAAATTCTATCTATAAATTTTATCTCGGTAACATATTGTATAATTATATAAGTATATGAACAACCCGTTTCTAATTTGTTTCCCGATCCCGCGGTTGTTTACTACATAAATGGACTAGTTCAATAATACACAACACAGTTCAACAAGTTATGGTCTCCAGATGAATGAACATTTGTATTCCCGTTTCAGATGCACGCAATAGATAAGAAACCAGAAAAAAAATCTTGGATTTTTCTTTCCACAAAAGCCTAAATATTGAATTTTCTTGTTTCATTCTATATATGATAGTGGCACAACCCCCCTCCTTTTTAAGAGAAAAAAAATATGAACACATTACCAATGTTTACCTCGGTGGAATAAGTACACTCCGGCAAAATATGTATTTTTAATTATAAACATCTTTTAAAATGTTCACAATGCATGACATCATTACAGATATTATTGATATTATATGATAATAGGTGTAATGTAGCTTTCAATTTACATCCAAGGGCAGATCACTCTACTTGCAGAACCACCCCCTCGTAGCTGCAATAATGTAGCCCTCTCCCTTTTTTTGGGGGGGGGGGGGCATCAGATGAAAAAAAAATCGGAGAGGGCTACATTATTGCAGCTACCCCCCCTAAACAGAATAACAACTCTTTAGTATGCAGTGAAGAGATGATTCTTCTTTAAGTAAAATAAAATAAAGAATTTCATTTACACAAGGTATTCAAAATATAAAGTATAAGAACATATTTTAAACCCACAAAGGTATTACTCAAACGTTTTATCACTCCTCATGCAGATATTGATTGATTTAGTCAGGCAAGCTTTTTAAAAAGCTGTTACTTGTGCAGTCTATATATACTATGTAGTCTATTCTTTTTTTTATTTTATTTTTTTTTATTTTAACACTTTCACATGTACATATAAAATAATTTTCATCATTTGGTACACAATAACATCAGGTCTACACACAATATAGAGTTATGTTTATAGAATGTGAAAGGTGTTTAAAAAAAAGACAAAGAAAAGGGGGGGGGGGGTCAGCAAGAAAAAAACCTTTCTTCTATTACAAATAATACAAAAAAAAAATCACTCAAATAAATTATAGGATGTACATGTATACATAAGCTTGTATATGTAACTCTATTACTTACAATATATCACAAATATTTTGCCAATGCCTTTCATATTCTTCATATTTACAATTCTTCATCAATAAAAATTTTTCAATCAAAATTCTATCTGTGATCCTCTTTAATACAGCTTCAGCATCTATTCTTGGAACATTCTTATATTTACAGGCAAAAATAAATTGTTTTACAATAAGTATTAAAAGGTTTTGAAATTTATAAACATTCATATTTTCATATTTACCAAATAGTATTGCTTGTTTATCAAAACAACAATGAATATTAAACTTATTTAAAATCCATTCTTCAATAGTACACCAGAGTTCTTTTACATGGAAACATTCAACAAATAAATGATCAATTGTTTCTATGTCACTTCTGCAGAAACTACATGCTGGAGAATCGATCAATTTTAGTCTAAAAAGATAATAATTAGTTGGGATGATTCTATGTAAGATTTGAAACTGTAGCCATTGAAGTTTAGATTCTTGAGTTATTTTAAAAGGAAGTTCAAATATTTTAGCCCAGTCTGCCTCATCGAAGATAAATCTGTTTTCTCTCCATTTTTTGATTGAGTTAACTGGCTCTTTCTTTTTACTTATAAATATGTTATACATATCCTTACAACCTTTATCATGTTTATAAAATACAAAAATGGAATTTGGAAGATGTGGTCCAATCAACTTAGCATTTTTAATTTCATCACAGTTTATATTTTTCAGTCTATCTAACACTGCTATTCTAAGTCCATTATAATCAACAAAATTTGTTTTCACTTTCAAGTTTATGAGTCGAGACTTATGAAACTACCCTCATTGTTAAAGAGGTCAGTAAGAAAAACAATGCCTTCATTAAAATAGTTTTTCCAAAAAAAAGATTTATCATTAATTTTAATCCTTGGATTATTCCATATATGTTCAAAAAGCACATGCCTGTCCTTTTCTTGATTTATTATAGTTAGCCTTGCCCAGCTTGACAGAACTTCTTTCCAAAAAACATTATTTAATCTTGTTGAGAGATTCAGAATATAATCAGAACCCCTTATCCAAAGATTGTTTATATCTACTTTTAGTTCAGCTTCAAATAATTTTACCCAGTTTGCTTGTGAGTGAATAAGTCTTCTAATCCAACTTGATTTAAGGGCAGAAATCAATTCTGTATAATCAATCATTTTTAGACCTCCATATTTATAGTCCTGGATTATAACATTTTTCTTTACCTTGTGAGTTTTGCTACCCCAAAGAAAATAATACAATTCAGTCTCAAACATCTTCAAAAAGTCTGACTTAGGGTTTGGTAAAGTAAGAATTAAATGGTTTAATTTGGGTAATATTAAAGTTTTAATTACTGTTAACCTTCCAATTGGGGTAAGTTTCCTTAAACTCCACTTACGTAACAAAGTTTTGATTTCATTTAGCTTTATGGAATAATTAAGATGAAGCATTTCATTCAAGTTTACTGAAAATTTTATTCCTAGAAGATCAAATATTGAATTTTCCCAGTCAAGCTTCCACCTTGAGTGATGAAATACATCCCTTGAAATTTTTTTACTTCCAATCCATATCATTTTAGTTTTTAAGAAATTTATCTTTAAGCCTGATATATTAGCAAAATAATCTAATTCTCGGAGAATACCATCCATAGATCTTGGTGAACCATCTGAGATAAGAGAAGTATCATCAGCATATTGAGAGAGTTTGTACTCTTCACCCTCAATTGTTATACCTTTTATATCTTGATTATTACGAATTAAGATTCCAAGAATTTCAGCACATAACAAAAAGAGATAAGGTGAGATCGGATCGCCTTGTCTGCATCCTCTTTGGGGGAAAAGATAGTCTGAAGTAAATCCATTTTGTATAACACATGATTTAATACCATTATAGAAGGTTCTAATCCAATTTTTAAAAGAGGGTCCAAAATTAAAAAAGTCAAGGGTTTGATATATAAAGTTCCATGAGATTGTATCAAAAGCCTTTTCAAAGTCAATTAACATCAATAGGCCAGGTATTTGATTATATTCTGTATAATGCATTATATCATATATCAGTCTAATATTCTCTCCAATAAATCTACCTTTTATAAATCCAGTTTGGTCTTTATTTATCAACTTGCCCAATTTAGTTTTCATTCGTTCCGCGATGCATCCTGATGCTATTTTATAAACAACATTTAAAAGACTAATGGGTCGCCAGTTTTTCAGAAATTGTTTTGGCTTTCCTGTTTTTGGGATACAAGTAATGATTCCTAATTTATTTGAGTCTGAGAATTGAAGTTTTTCATTTGAATTATTTATTGCTCTTGTAATAAAGGAGCCAATATCTTTCCAGAAAAATTTAAAAAATTTACATGTAAATCCATCCGGTCCTGGACTTTTGTCATTTTTCATTTGTTTTAAGAAGTTTAAAACTTCAAAGTTTGTTACAGGACCTTCCAGACTGTTTGATTCTTCTCTACTTAATTTGGGAATATCATAATCTTTAAGTCTATCATGAATATTTTCAGTATCTACATTTTCCCTTTTCTTATATAAGTTTTCATAGAAAGCTTTCGTTTCATTTAATATCTCGCTTTGGGAAGAAACAATTGATCCATTGTCCTTTTCTATTTTAGGTATTTGCTTACTTACATAGTTTCTTGATTCTAAACTTACAAAATATTTTGAGGGTTTTTCTCCCTCCTCAATCCATTTGACCTTTGACCTTATGCATTGACCTTTAAATTTTAGGTTCTTTATTTCCTCTACTTCTCTTTTCTTTTCTTCAAGTTCATTAATTAGCTGATCTGTTAAATTCTGCTCTAATTCTAATATTTCTCTCTCTAACTGTTGTTCTCTTTCAAAAGTTTTCTTTTTTTATATGTTGAAAATGAAATTGATTTTCCTCTTATTTCCATTAACAAAATATCAAGAAAGAGTTGGTCACTAATGGTGAGTTGAATAGTATCATTCTCGATGCAACTTATTTTTTTCCATATTATATATTGGGCAAGAATATTGGATTTTAACATCCTTAATCTTACATTTTATTTGTTCAACATATTCTTTTTCATGCAACAGGGAATTATTGAATTTCCAGAAACCCTTTCCCTTTTTAAATTCATTTAATTTACAATGTAATAGAACTGGTGAATGATCAGAACAATAACTATTTTCAAACTTGACACGTGGATTCATAGCTAGCATGGATTCTGTTATCAGGAAAAAGTCAAGTCTAGCTTGTTTGAGTGGATTTTTTCGTCTCCAGGTAAACCTTTTTAAAACTGGATTATCTTCACGAAATACGTCCTTAAGGTTTACAACATCCATAAGCTTTATTACTTCAAGTCTTGATTTTGGATTGTTTAAATTTTTGTAATTCATTGAATCCAAATCTTTATCAAAAACTAAATCAAAATCACCCCCTAAAACAATTTTATGAGAGGAATGAATCTGCTCTATTTTATGGACTAAACTTATGTAAAAATTAGGTGTGTCAGAGTTTGAACCATATATATTTATTAGTAAAAAAGAGATATCCTCAATAAAGACATCCAAAATTAGAAAATTACCATCAGTATCCTTATATTCATTGACGATTTTTAAATCAAAGTTGTTGTTAAAGAGGATAGCGACTCCTCTTGAATTGGACTTGAATGAACTAAAAAATGCTTTATATCCCCACTGGATTTCTGCGCATGCCCGACATGTAGACAACCACAAATTTCTGAGAGGAAAGTTTTTACCTAAAAACTTGAAATCATCGAAAATCAGAAGCCCAAAAAATGCAGCAACTTTAATTAGGATAATGAGTTAAGTATTGTGTGACAACCTATAGAAGAAATATAACGCTAAACATCGGGAAAACCTTCTGTGTATTTTCGGTAAGTCAATGGTATTTACCTGGTGAGCGATACTCATTCTGTTTATGAACATACATTTAACAATGTCGGATATCTCCAAGAAACGGGCACTAGATAAAATGGACAGTACTGACGAGAGTATGGAGCAAGGTGATCAAAGTAATCAGAAACCGGAAGATTTTCAGTTAAGGGATATAATGCAGGGCATTGCAAGTATTCAGACTACTTTGGCGAATTTTATGTTACGGCTCGATGGACAAGGTCGACACTTAGATGAAATTACGAAAGAAATCAGAGCAAAAAATGGCATTCAAGAAAGACTTGAAACTGTTCAAGAACAGGCTAATGACACAATATACCTTGTGACAGAACTACAGGATAACCAGAAAAAAATGGAACGTGAAATGAACAGACTCAAAGATTATGTAATTCGTCTTGAATACCGTGTAAATTCACAAAGTAACCAAATAGTTGATCTCAAGGCAAGGTCAATGGAGAATAACATCATTGTTAGTGGTCTGCAGGAAAAAGGCCCCGGGAGGAAGTCACCAGAGAACCTTGCGCAAATTCTAAGAAATGTATTCATATCAGAGATGAACATGGGGGAGACAGCAGTTGATGAATTACAAATACAGAAACTCTTCCGAATGGGAGAATACGATGCTCAACGAAAATTTCCAAGACCAGTTTGTGTGCAATTTGCCGATAAAGCCCAAAAAGACCTTGTTATGAAACACATAAAAGTTCTAAAGGAAAAGAATTCGGACATAAGAATTGCCCAACAACAACCAGAGGAGATACGGGAACGACGAAAACAGCTGTATGAAGTTCAAAGAAAATATGCAGAACGAAATATCGAGACGAAAATGAAGGGGGACAAGCTTATCTTTACCCAGAGTAATTCAATCTACAGAGAGAAAGTAGGATCTCTTCCAACGGCAGATGAGGTGATTTCCAGCGACGCAGTCAAGATTACCGTTAACCCTGGAAAGTCAATTGAGGACAACGGAAACCGGTTTATGGCGCATTCCACCCAAGTCGATTCCTATAAACAGATTAAACGATCATTAGTGGAAATCATGCGTATCGAAACCGTACCCAGCGCGAGCCATAACGTTTATGCTTATCGCTTCACAAGCAGTGATGGGATAATCCATGAAGGATCAAATGATGACGGGGAGCATGGTGCGGGAAGGTTACTTTTAAAAATGCTTGCCGAAAACGAAGTTAACAACGTACTGGTGGTTGTCTCTCGATGGCATGGAAACAATATTGGACCTCGTCGATTTTCCCATATCAAAGAAGCAGGTCTTAGTGCGGTAAGTCTATTCTTTATATCATTCAGGCCTCCTAATATAATACGTGGTCTATTCTTCTACATAGTCGGTTGCCTATAACATTTTTAGGTGACAGTCGGCAGTTCATCGGCCGTTGTCTTGCCCGATTTTGACTTTTTTTTGTCGGTCGACCAATTTTGTGTCCATCGGGCCAAGTTATAATTTTTTCTGCGTCGGTGGCCGATTTCTTCAATTGAAGTTATCGGTCGACCAACCTTCGATCATCGTCCGACCATCGGCAGTCAGTTTATTGATTCTGTCGTTCGACAATAAGGGTATCCAAAATTTCGGCCGACGGTCAAAATCAAACTGTAGCTCAGAGCTCGATGATCGGGCGACGATTGGTCGACTTGTGGATATTTAACCTATTAGGATACATAACACAAACAAAATTTTGATGCATGGATTGAAATTTATTTTTGAATGGAAATAACATAAATAATTAATCCGTTAGATATATAAAAAAAAAATCTTAAGTATTCTGTGCTGCTTAGATATGCACCATTTGTCGTTTTCATGCAACCTTATGCAAAATTTTGCACACATTTTAAACACTGAGTCACAATTTTATAAAATTCTGCCACTTCGCCTTGCAAATATTACTCACGTAACCTATCTGAATATAGATCTATGAAAAAATATTGCTGATTTCTAAAGAAAAAGGATGTTTTGTGTTATTTATCTAAGTCATCCGTGTTCCTAGGAATTAATGTGACTGCTCCATGTTTGATAATTGTGTCGGCCGATCATGTTCTTTCAGCCGACAAGACCAGAAAAATTTAGTCGCCCGACCATCGGCTTAAATGTGACCTAGGCATTAGGTGACCTATTGCTATCCGTTTTCGTCTGTCGTCGTGCGGTATGCGTCGTGTGTTATTATTTGAATATTTTCAGCTTCTTCTCTGCAACCATCCAATCCATTTCCACCAATTTTGTCACAAAGCATCTATATGGGTGTCACAGAAAGGGAACAAAAATTGTGAATTTCATTGTTCCTGTCCCCCTGCGGCCTGAAGGGTGGCCAAAACCACTAATATTAATGCAATTCAAAAAAATTATTTTTACTCCTTGACATCAAGCAGTCAAACTGTTGGCATGAATGTAATGAAGATTAGGTCTTCTACAAAAATTAAGAAATTCATGGCCCCAGGGTCAGGGGTTCTAGTGCTAGGGCGGGGCTCTATTGATTACATAGAGAAAATGCAGAAATTCTTTGAACATTTTTTTCTTGCATGCTTCTGGATATTAAGTAAACTAACCAAGTATGTACATATAGATAAGGCTGCCTCTTCCAAAATTGTGAATTTTATGGACCCAGGGTCAGGGTGCTCTAGCTATTTGCAACTATGAAAATCAACCCAGGATAGCCGCTTTCGGTTGTAGGTGGCGAATTCCAAATTTTTGTAGTTTTCCTGGCACGTATTATATCAAAATCGCAAGAAAAGCCCTGAAAACGTCAAATATTTCGAACTTGTGTATACAGAATAAAAAAACCTTTTGATAAGATCTTGTCATAAACACCAAGCCCTTGTAAGTCAAACTTGGAAGATCCCAATCTTGGGGTGATTAGCGTTTTGTTTAAAGTATAGTCTTGTGCGGCAAAGGGAGGGGGCACATTTATAACGTGAACATTTATACAGAAATACAAAAAAAAATAAAAGCTTTGACGAAAAATTGCTGAAATGCTACCGATTCAGCGTTTAATATAAAATAATACTTTTATAGATTCTTTTGAAGAGCGGCAGAGGAAAGGTAACTCAGGTAAACGTTGTTTATTTTATTAAAGTATTATTTTACACAATTTACGCACTCAGGTATGCACGTGACTGCATTTTTACATAAATAACCTTTAAAACGACAAGTAATCATGCACGTCTTTCGTTTTCTGTGTCTTCTTCTTTCTCAATCATTGTGTTGTTCAAGTTCTTCTAACCAATTTAAGAGAGTCGAATCGTGTCCAGAAAGCTCCGAACAATGGACAAATCGCGAGCAGATGAAGAATTGTCGGCAATTTAAAGCAACGCCAGATTTCATGTGTGCCGCCATTGAGGGACAACCCGGAATTTTTGGAGAAATATGTACTGTTGTAGGATTATCAACTGCAGGTATGAAAGTTATATATTCTGCTATGAGGTTAGCAGACATTTTAATGAAAGTGATATTCCTACACATATATCATGCATGTCTACTGTTCATGATAATTTATAAAGCCTGAAGACTAAGAACGAAACCGAAAGTAGAATAATATTTTAAAACTTGATGTTTAAAATATTTAATCTTCTTTCGATGAAGTTAATGTAAGAGAATGCATTTGAAATATTGTAGTGCTGTTTTTCATATTATTATATTCAATATGTTTAAAACAATTCTATCAATTTAACAATAGCCTCATATATATATATATATATATATATATATATATATATATATATATATATATATATAAAGCACATTTTACAACAACTCTTAAACTAACATAACTGCCCTAAGTGAAGAAATATTAATATAGAAAGCACAAGGAAATTCACTTTCACATGGATACCCACTTCCACCCCAGCCCGGGGTTGAACTCTCGACCTTCGGAATCTGTCTCCTAGCAGTGTAAGAACAGCGAGCTAGACCGCTCGGCTATCTAGGCAAGTCAAAAAACTTGCTTTCGATGCCGATGGAATTCTCGCGGCGCTGCCCTACACTACACGGTCATTGAGAATAGAAGTGAGATACAGTTATTTGGACATTAGTTTTAACAGAGGATTGTTACCAATACATGTTGTAATGAAATTAATTATTATTTATAAAGCACATTTTACAACAACTCTTAAACTAACATAACTGCCCTAAGTGAAGAAATATTAATATAGAAAGCACAAGGAAATTCACTTTCACATGGATACCCACTTCCACCCCAGCCCGGGGTTGAACTCTCGACCTTCGGAATCTGTCTCCTAGCAGTGTAAGAACAGCGAGCTAGACCGCTCGGCTATCTAGGCAAGTCAAAAAACTTGCTTTCGATGCCGATGGAATTCTCGCGGCGCTGCCCTACACTACACGGTATATATATATATATATATATATATATATATATATATATACTGAAATAATTCTTTTTAATGTCTAACTCAGATCATTCTGAGAGTATTACACTAGCAGCACATGTCCCCTACCGAGATCCCCTATTCTCTAGAGGATGTCATTTTAAAATATCCTGTATATGAAGAAAGTGTTTCTAAATTGAGAATACATTTAGTATTTCGGTAATTACTTGTTTATGAATGCAACGTCAGAAAAACGTGTATGATTGTCATTAGACATACACACGTGTGTGCTTTAGAATTAATCTGAAAAGCCCATTTTACATGGTTAAAAAACAATTTTGTTAAAAGTCAAATTTGATCTGTGATTTGTCACTTAGTTAGAATTATCTAACTGTGTCTCAGACCAAGTCCTCACCACAGTTAGAATGCCTCCCTTTTACTCGCAGTGTAGCAAAAAAAAAATGAATGATGAGAATCGCAGCAAAATGATTTATTAAGAACACAAAAGGATTTGAATTGAAAATAACTACCAAATTAATTAAAACAAACCTTTTTGAGATTGTGTTTGCTTTTAACCTAAAAAAATAATTCACATATAGACGACATTTCAACTAATTTTTTCAACGTCTTCTTGCTTTGTATTTATAAACCATGTTGACATTCGGAACTACATTGCAGCACTAAGTTAGTGAGCATAGGCGTCGGAACCGGGGGGGGGGGGGAGGTGGGGCGGATGGATCCAGAAGTTCATGTGGGGGGGGGTTGTCCCCCTCCCATAGGTGGGGGCGGGAAAATTTTGTTTTAAATGATTCAAAATGATGCATTTTCCAGCATTTTGGGGATACTTTTTGTAGCTTCTTTTAAACCGATAATACCATATTTTTATACCCGCACTTTCTAAAGAAAGTTCGGGTATATTGTTGTTACTTCTGTCCGTCCGTCTGTCACACTTTTCTTCCCTGAACTCCTCCTACATTTTACACAGTAGCTTAATCATCTTTTGGGAGATAGTTGACGGTGTCATGTAGATGTGCAGTAAGGTTTCGGAATTTTGATTTTGATCTGGGGGGTCAAATGGAGGTCGAAAAATGACGTTTTTCATGCAAAAAGCCCCATCTTCCCTGAACTCCTCCTACATTTTACCCAGCAGCCTAATCATCTTTTGGGAGACGGTTGGTGGTGTCATGTAGATGTGCAGTAAGGTTTCAGAATTTTGATTTTAACTTGGGGGTCAAATGGGGGTCGAAAAATGACGTTTTTTATGCAAAAAGCCCCGTATTCACTGAACTCCTCCTACATTTTACCCAGCAGCATAATCATCTTTTTGGAGGTGGTTGGTGGTGTCATGTAGATGTGCAGTAAGGTTTCGGAATTTTGATTTTGCCCCAAATAGGGATCGAAGAATGACGTTTTTTTATGCAAAAAGCCCCGTCTTCCCTGAACTCCTCCTACATTTTACTCAGCAGCCTAATCATCTTTAGGGAGATGGTTGGTGGTGTGATGGAGATGTGCAGTAAGGTTTCGGAATTTGATTTTACCCCAGGGGGTTAAATGGGGGTCAAAAAGCCCTGCCTTCCCTGAACTCCTCCTACATTTTACTCAGTAGCCTAATCATCTTTTGGGAGATGAATGGTGGTGTCATATAGATGTGCAGTAAGGTTTCGGAATTTGGATTTTGCCCCAGGGGGTCACAAAATGATGTTTTTTTTATGCAAAAAGCCCCGTCTTCCCTGAACTTCTCCTACATTTTGCACAGTAGCCCAATCACCTTTATGGAGATGGTTGGTGGTGTCATGGAGATGTGCAGTAAGGTTTCGGAATTTGGATTTTACCCCATGTGGTCAAATGGGGGTCGAAAAAGAACGTTTTTTTTAATGCAAAAAGTCAATTATGAAAGTCCGATCTCTTTTCAATCAAAAGTTATAAGAAATGTAATATTGTTTTAAAAATAGGCTAAACTTCTAGGTCAAGGTCACAGAGTCAAAAGTCATGATATATTTAGAAAAGTTTTTTCACATGTAGTATACATGTATAATTTGAATGCCCTATCTTTTCTCTTTCAAAATGATCAATTTAAAATAATGTTATATTTTGGAAAGTAGGTAAAACTTTAAGGTCAAGGTCATGGGTTCAAGAATCATAATATTTTTAGAAAGTTTTGTGGTAATGTACATGTGAAATATGAAAGCCTTATCTCCTATTATTCAAAAGTTATGACCAAGGTTAAATTTATTGTGACAGATGCACGTACTGTCAATAAGATAGACAGACTGACAGACATATGAGATTTGATGTCCTCTCCCTTTCCCAAAAACGGGGGACAATAATGCCCCCGCTGTTCCTGAGAAAATTTATGATGGAAAAAATCTCCTGCATATTTCTTAATGCAAATCAATATTGTGTTTTTTTATGCCATTTGTTTGTTTGTTGTTAAACAACCCACTCCGGAATTTTTCACTCATATGTTGACACCACCACTTGAAAATAATGAGGACAATCAGATTTGAGGTCAGCATTCATTTTAGGAGTTTTCAACCATTAAGACGTAAGGAGATATTAACTCAATCCTTCACCTCGCCCCTTCCCAGACCCCGGCCTGTTTGTTCATGTATGGTTAATAAAAAGTATACAAATAGTTTAATGTGGTCCATCTCCTTGACTGACTTTCATTCCTAATTCTAGGAGGTTAGGTTGACAAAAATTCATGAATAAAATGTCAAGCATTTATCTTATCATTGATGCACTTTTATTTAATTTATGCAGTCATATTGTGAACATTTCCAGTTCATTAGAAGAGTGGGGATGACCTCAGGGATTCATAATCTTTATACCATTAAATGTACATAACATAATAACACACGAAACAAAATTATGTATTGTCAAATGGAAAAGTTTCCTACTATTTAGGAGTCACATGATCATTTGTCATTACAGGGACAAGGAGTGGATAGGGAGATACCCCTCCCTCTCCCCCTTGAATTTTCAGTTATTTAATAGGACTATAATGTATTCTGAAGCAAATAAAAATGACTTTGGATGCTCTCCACCCTAGAAAACAGACCCCACAATAATTTTTTTTTTTTGGAAATTTTGGTCTGGAAATCCCCCCTCCCTCCCGGAAAAAAGAAAATTCAGGATCGTGTAACAGAATGTAACGTCAACAACGGGGGATAACTCTTCAGAATGTGAAAATCGTCTATTTTAGCATCCAATGACCTTTGATCCTTTAAACTTTAACCTAACCATTTGCATTTCAGACTCTTTTACCCAAATCTATAGGTTCAAAAGCATCACTCAAATTAACATAGATAAACAATGCGACTGTTGGCTGCACCGTTATGGATACAATTATTATATTGGATTTTACTGGACCGAATAAAGTACTGAGTCTTAGGTAGCGCCAGGGGAGAAGAAACTGCCTGATTTGTTTATGGTTGCCATGCCAACACAGCTATGGCAGTGGTCAACTTAATATCAGCATCACATAACTGAAAATACAGACTTGGATTCAGGGAAAGAGAACACAGCAGCTCAATCATGAAGCGCTCTTCTTACTTTGATCACCATAGCGATTCGGTACTTACCGACTGTCATAGGTCCTGTCAACTTCATGAAATATAATCCAATTAAAACACAAAATGAAATAATTCCTACTGATATACATGCAATGATGTGCATACCACACCTCACGTGCAGTGCAATCTAAAAATGATAATGGTAAAACTAGTACTTAAGTTGGGTACGTGACGCAAGCCCATATGTGATGCATGTGTTCAGATACATGTATAGTACGAGAACAAATTTAGAATTATCATTTACAAAAGATATTTTATCTTAACTTTGCCATCTAGACATATTTACAAAAACAGGCAAATGGGGTGTGTGTGTATGTGTGTTGATGGGAGAGGGATGGGGGGAGGGGTGTGTGACTAAGTTGATTAGTTATATATATGGCAGCTTTCGAGGAGGTTTTTGCCTAAACAAATAATAAAAAAGTTTGCACATTTTGAAAAATTCATCAAAGACGCTTTACACTAATTTGACTAATATTATTTGTTGTTGATCTATTTGAGAAAATAGATTTAAAAAGTTTCAATTATGGGCCAAAATTTATATCCCCCTTTTATCAAACCTAATGTACATCATTAATTAAATCCAGTTGTTTAATTTCAGACTGGTAATGAATTAAGAACATGAAATATACCTATAAGAGGCTCATGGGTCACATGGTCACCTGAGCATATTATGCTCAATTTGATGAATACATGTATTATGTAAATTATTGAATTTTTTTACTTTTTTACTTTTTCCTTGGTAAAGCCAGTTTGAAGGTGTGTGCATTTAGAGGCAAGCACCTTAGTGCGGGTATTACTGTCTCATGACAGCATCTAGTTTTTTTAGAATTTGGAAAAATAAAATGTTTTAATTTAATTTAACACAAGACTTTAGACTTTGCTTGAAAAAAATTGTTAAATCTGACAATTTTAGGAATACACGCAGTTAGACATCAAGTTGTCTTTACTTTTAAATGCACCTTCAATTATTTTAGACGTAATCTGTCATGCTGACCTCCAAGATAGAACGGATTTGCAATTTTAAACACTAAAAATTAAAAATTGAATTCTTATCAAAATCCCTAACTAGTGCTTTTCAATTTACTTGAGTATAGTACTGTCAATATGATTAGGAATATAAACACATATGTACAATTAATGATATTTTAAACTGAAGAAAAAATTACATAAACTAAAGAATCTGTCAAAACTATAGGCCTGGGTTCACTAAGCCAACCTGATTTTGAAAAAAAAGTATAAATTTAATTTTTAAAACGAAAACCCTGAATAATAGGCTCATTCAAATGGTTAAAAAAAAACGTGCATTTTATCAGCAAAAGAATATTACTGAGCAGCACCGTAACTAAGCAGAATTTGGATCTTGGTACCTGACTACATGTATTGTACATGAATATGACCTTGTGACTTTACAAGATGCATGGACTACCCTAATCTCTCTGTTGATTACCTGTGTATTGTGTGCGTTCAAGCGGAAAGTGATTTCCTGTTACGTTGTACAGAACAATGGTTTCGTGTTTATTAGAGTCTTATCAATGCAACAGAAAGATAAAATGACACTTGTAAAAAAAATCTATGGGGGGGGGGGGTCCGAACCCCCCAAACCCCAACCCCCCTGAATCCGCCACTGGCTAGGCTACCACTTTCAATTTGCTTCCGACACCTATGGTGAGAATTATCTCCCGTTATTTTCCTTTCCTAAATATTACGTCAATTTATATAACAGTATGCATTCTATCGTTGAACCGGGTCCCAGGACATAAATCATTTTAACGGTAGAACATTCTACCTAATTTGTCACTATAAAGCTACCTAACATGTTTAAAATAATAATTTTAACATTACAATCTCGTTTGGATCATTTAGCTTAGTACGAACCCGATCTTAAACCACACATTGTGGAAAATTAAAAAAAAAATAATTCTGTCCAATATCAGTGAATCGAAACGACATTCAAACTTGATCTGTTTCTGTTTATCTGGCAAACTGAATTATTTCATTTAGGAAATTGTGTAAAAGGTATAACATCTCGGTTTTGTAGGTAAATGTGCAGTGTTAGATGCTGATACGTATAATTTAAACTTCATCTCATGCGATGCGTCTCCGGGCTGCCCAACAACAGCATACAGAGCCTCAGACATTTATAAATGTAAGTATTTATGTATAAGTATATGTAATTATACTAATTTTGTCTTCTTTTACATAAGTATAATTCGTTTAAATTCTTTCTTGTTTTTTTTTTTGTTTTTTTTTCATGATAACGTCGGTTAACATTATAGTAACTCACAAGACAATTTAGTTGCAATATTATCAGCTAGCGTTTGATTCTATCTAAGGTATGTAATACGAATTTTAAATTATCATAAACCAAAGTAAAATACGCGAAAAAGTCTACCAATTAGAACTTGATAAAGACTTTTATTATCATTGGGAACATCGCATAGCGTACTTTTTGGCTCAAATTATATTTTAATTTCGTTTTTAATGGACTCATCTTCATTCACTGTCATTTACAGGTATTTGTAGACTAGTGTTAGTATTGCAACGGAAGCTCATTAATCAATCGTAGGCTGCATGACGGTCAAACAATTGTATTCTGTTTTATGTATTCTTCGAGAATTTTAATGTAGAAATACCAATAATGTACTGACGAAGGGCTTCAAATTAAGACCTTTACTCGGCAATAATGCCATTGAGCACTGAGGGTTCTTTTCTGGCCAATAGCCATCGTTAGATCGGACCTCTGTTTTTTAATGTCATCCGAAGGACCCGCAACTTTAGGTGCCGAGCGCTTGGCGAAGGAACAGTTGCGACATAGTTTTATTGACTTAGGGCAGTCACGGCCGGGAATCGAACACACGGCCCTTCGATCACGGAACAAGAGCTGTACCGACGGGTGACGGTCGAAATTTCAAGACGACGTCTATTGTATCTTTGCTGATTAAAAAAAAATTTGACTAACTTTTTCTTTTGACAAATATTAAAACATTTATTCTGTGACGGCTGTGACTTATGAGCCTTCTACAACGTACATTTATAGTTATTGAAGTCTTTACAGTTTATTTAACGAGTAATTCATTTTTTACAGATCAGGCATGCTTTGAAAACTTTTACAGGTAATATTTGAACTACATGCACAATTATAATTCATACCTTACTTATCATAAAAACATTCTTTAAATAATGAGTTAAAGATGGAATAAAAAATCCATTGACTAGATTACAGCTTACAACCTTTGTGTAAATTTTCTTTTTCAGGGTTGAGACAACGACATCCAATAAAGCATCAATCACTCTGCATGTGAATGGAAACACGCAAGTTTTTCCAATAGAAAACAGCTTTGCTAGACTATATATTTATCTTTAAGAAGAACTTTTTTTGTAAAACGCATGAGATTGTTTATTTTATAAAGATAGCAATTAACTTGGTATATATTAATCATTAACATTTGCAATATAATGAATTAAATCATTTTTAATTTTAAGAGTTTTATAGATATATTTGTTTCAGAAATGCTTTGTGTGTTTTTAGATGACAATGAGAAAATGTTTTCTTTTTGTAGTACAATAGGCGATTCTACATCCAACGAGAAGAATACTGTCACAGTTGTTATTGTGACTTTAATCATAAATGTGTTAATACTTTCATTTTTTATCATTTTATTCTGGGTTCGAAAGAAGAGAAAGGAGACAGGTAGATATTGATTACAATTTAAACAACCTGATTTTGAACTAAATGTTGCTAACTTTTCTGTTATGATTATATATTTTGTCTTGTACAGAACATTCAAAGCCCTTTGAGATCGCAACATTTCTGGATCCGAAAAAAGATGCAGGTAGTTATTTCTCATTTAGTACTGCGAATGTGATTGCACTTATGGGAGACAGGTAGATATTGATTAAAATTTAAAGATCCATGATTTTGAACTAAATGTTGAAATATTTTCTGTTCCGATTATACGATACTTTTCACATCAGTAATACATATATTTCTGTCTTGTATAGAAAACTCCAAATCCTACGAGATCGTAACATGTCTGGATCCGAAGATAGATGCAGGTAGTTATTTCTCATTTAGTACTTCGAATGTGATTTGCACTTATGAGAGAAAACTTGGTGTTATCACTTTTTTTTAGCTCACGTGAGCTGAAAGTTCAAGTGAGCTTTTCTGATCACCCAATCTCTGTCCTTCTGTAAACTTTTCACATTTTCAACTTCTTCTCAAAAACCACTGAGACAATTTTAACCAAACTTGGTACAAAGCATCCTTGAGTGAAGGGGAATTTAAATTGTTAAAATCAAAGGCTAATCTCCCTTCCAAGAGGAGATGATCAAACAAGAGGCCCACGGGCCTTATAGGTCACCTGAGTATCATGTAACAACTTTCCAGCAATTGTATTTGGTTCGTGTTTTAATCCAAAGCCATGAAATTCACAAATTTTGAAGCAGGCACCATTGCTTATCAAAGGGCAGATTTCAAAGCATTAATTTATTTTAGTCAAAGTACCCCCCTGGTACCCCTGACCCAGCGGCCCTGAAATTATCTATTTTGAAAGAGGCCCCTTCTTCATTATAAGGCCAGCATTTTTTTATGTTTAGGTTTAGTTATGAAATGAGAATAAAAAAAGTCCCGAAGGAGAAGGAAATAAATTTTTTTTTTGATAAATCTATTATTAACATTTGTACATTCTTTTTTTATGCTATTCTACTAGGCTCCTTACCACTGGACACATAATGCTTACAAATAGGAAAGTAGAACATTTAATTGCTTATTTCATCATCTGCCAGTTTGGGCCAGTTATATAAATTTTGTGATGTTGGTCAAAATATATTTTAAAAAAACAATTCTTTAAAAGTCTTTCAATATATCTTCATTTTTAGCTCTACTGGTCAGAGACCAGAAGAGCTTATGCGATAGTAATGCGTCCGGCGTCCGTCCGTCTGTCCGTCTGTCTGTAAACAATTTTTCAAAATGCTACTCCTCCTACAGTTTTGGTCTAATTTCAATATAACTTGGCACACAAGTAGACTACACTAAGATACATAATTCTGTGTATCGGTTTTTGAGTTCGATGAACGGTGTTGCCGTGGTTACAAAAATAGAAATTTCTGTGAAATTCTTTCAAAATGCTACTCCTCCTACAGTTTTGGTCTGATTTCAGTATAACTTGGCACACAAGTAGACTACACTAAGATACATAATTCTGTATATCGGTTTTTGATTTCGATGAACGGTGTTGCCGTGGTTACTAAAAATAGAAATTTCTGTGAAATTGTTTCAAAATGCTACTCCTCCTACAGTTTTATTCTGATTTCAGTATAACTTGGCACACAAGTAGACTACACTAAGATACATAATTCTGTGTATCGGTTTTTGATTTCGATGAACGGTGTTGCCGTGGTTACTAAAAATAGAAATTTCTGTGAAATTCTTTCAAAATGCTACTCCTCCTACAGTTTTGATCTGATTTCAGTATAATTTGGCACACAAGTAGAATACACTAAGATACATAAATCTGTATATCTGTTTTTGTTGGTGTTGCCGTGGTTACTAAAAATAGAAATATCTGTAAAATTGTTTCAAAATGCTACTCCTCCTACAGTTTTGGTCTGATTTCAATATAACTTGGCACACAAGTAGAATACACTAAGATACATAATTCTGTATATCAAATTTTAATTTTGATGAACTGTGTTGCCGTGGTTACTAAAAATTGAAATGTCTGTAAAATTGTTTCAAAATGCTACTCCTCCTACAGTTTTGGTCTGATTTCAATATAACTTGGCACACAAGTAGACTACACTAAGAACATAAAGAGACTTTATCAACGATCATTATTCTATATATTGCTGTTGTAAAGTTTCAAATCCCAGCTGCTTAAGTACTCTTCTCTTCCTTTGCTATAAGTTCAAACCAGTAGAGCTTCAGTCTCGACAGAGACTTCTGGTTTAAAAATGTGTTAGGTAAATGTATAGACATTGTTCTAAAATTTACTTGTTGCCTAAAATTATAATTCCTATCATAAAACAGAAAGGGAGTATTGGGGAGTAGGGTGAACATTTTTTCAATTAAGTTAAGTGTAAAATAATTTTTCTGGCTTATACAAATGATACTACATGCCTGTATATATTTGTATATTCTTGCCTTTTAATAGTTGAATTTTTTGTTTTATTTCTTCAGGTTATTGTTTATTTCTTCCTCAAATGGACTTAACTTCTCCCAATAGTTTTATTCATTACATCTGATGCATAAGCAACCCTTTTCTGAAGAATGATGCTTAGACTGTAAGCTATAACAGAGTCCTAAACAATGTCGCTGGCAATATGCAATAGCTACCACAGGCAGTTTAAAACCTGGGGGACGAAAATAATTAACAGACAGATACTTTTGAAACGAATACATAATTATCTCACCAGCATGTCATTGTGCAACAAAGTCGTCAGCATTTTATTTGTCCTTTGAATGGGTGAAACGTTTTGAATGGCACTCGTATCGATGAATTTTACACTAAATCAAGTTATCTTCTCAGATCTAGCTTTATTTACCCGCCGTTTCATCTTAAAACCGGAAGTGCGAGTTCGTAAACTTGAAATCTCGATCCCGACTCAAATTTGATATCGGAAAGAAAAAAAATTGTTTTATTTTTTTCTGAAAATTCAAAACCTTGAGCGGAGGGTTTGTAAAACTGAAAATAAAATAACTCCTGCCCTTAAACATGTAATTAGATCATTAGTATATTAACCAGGAGCAAAGGATAAGATGTTCAAAGAATACATGCATTTCACTACATAATCATTAGAGCCCCACCTTAAAACAAGAACCCCTGACCCTGGGGCCATAAAATTCAAAATTTTGGTAGAGGCACTCTTGCACATCATAACTATGTACTTAGTTAGTTTATTTAATCCCCAGGAGCAGAGAAGAAGATTTTCAAAGAATTCATGTATATTTCACTATATAATCAATAGAGCCCCGCCCTAACACCAGAACCCCTGACCCCAGGGCCATGAATTTCACAATTTTGGTAGAGGCACTCTTGCTCATCATAACTATGTACTTAGTTGGTTTATTTAATACCCAGGAGCAGAGAAGAAGATTTTCAATGAAATATTGCATTTTCACTACCTACTTATTTAGCCCCGCCCTAGCACTAGAACCCCTGACCCCAGGGCCATGAATTTCACAATTTTGGTAGAGGACTCATTGCTGATTACAATCATGCAAACAGTTTGACTGCGTGATGTCCAGGAGTAAAGAAGATTTTTAAAGATTGCATTAATTTAAGTGGTTTTGGCCACACCCCTCAGGCCCCCGGGGGGGGGGGGGCAGGGATCATGAAATTCACAATTTTTGTTTCCCTTCACCAATAGATGCTTTGTGCCAAATTTGGTTGAAATTGGTTCAGTGGTTGCAGAGAAGAAGCTGAAAATGTTCAAATGTTAACGCACGACGCACAACGCACGACGACGGACGAAAACGGATAGCAATAGGTCACCTGAGTTTACTCAGGTGACCTAAAAAAGAAAGTCTTATCAAGAACCACTGCACAGCACTGTTAAGGCTGTAAAAAGGGGGCGAGACCTAATTTATACGGGGAATCTTTGCTGTGACATCACACAAACAAGAGGCTCGTGGGCCACATCACTCACCTGAGAAGCTTCGACAATGTTATTCTTAACCAGATTTCATCCTTGTAATACCCATTCTGACCCTATTGTATCCCACGGGTCATAATTTGGACAATTTAAAATCTACATTACCCCAGGATGCTTCCACATAAGTTTCAACTTTCCTGGTCAAATAATTGAGAACAAGATTTTTAAAGTGCCCCCCCCCCTATATATTTCTATGTAAAACTTTGATTCCTCATTGTGGCCCCACCCAACCCCCGGGGGGTCATGATTTGAACCATTTAGAATCTACACTATTCCAGAATGCTTCCACCTCAGCTTTTCTGGCCATGTGGTTATTGAGAGGAAGATTTTAAAAGATTTTTCCTATATATTTCTATGTAAAACTTTGATTCCCTATTGTGGCCCCGCCCAATCCCCGGGGTCATGATTTGAACAATTTAGAATCTACATTACCCCAGGATGCTTCAACATAAGTTTCAGCTATTCTGGCCCAGTGGTTCTTGAGAAGAAGACTTTTAAAGTTTTTTCATATATATTTCTTCGTTAAATCTTGATTCCAATTGTGGCCCCGCCCTACCCCCGGGGATCATGATTTGAACAATTTAGAATCTACACTACCCCAGGATGCTTCTACATAAGTTTCAGCTTTTCTGGCCCAGTGGTTCTTGAGAAGAAGATTTTTAAAGTTTTTGCCTATACATTTCTATGCAAAACTTTGATTCCTCATTGTGGCCCCGCCCTACCCCCGGGGGTCATGATTTGAACAATTTAGAATCTACACTACCCTAGGATGCTTCCACACAAGTTTCAGATTTTATGGCCCAGTGGTTCTTGAGAAGATTTTTTAATGACCCCACCCCATTTTTGTCTTTTCTTGATTATCTCCGCTTGTGAGAGGACCTGGCCCTTCATTTTTACTATTTAAATTTCCCTTCACCCAAAGATGCTTTGTACTAAGTTTGTTTAAAATTGGCCCGATGGTTCTTGAGAAGAAGTCAAAAATGTGAAAAGTTTACAGACGGACAGACAGACAGACAGACAGACGACGGACAAAATGTGATCAGAAAAGCTCACTTGAGCCTTCGGCTCAGGTGAGCTAAAAATAGTTATTCCAGAAAATGAAATAATTTGCAATTTTAAACCGTATTAAAAATATTAAACAACATCAGAACCTATCAATGCATTAAAAATAGTTGCTAGTTAAACCCCACACAACAGTTTATAAACAAATCACTAATCGCGGTAAACTTGTCGTTTAAAAATGACGTACTAGTATTTTATATGCTGTGAGAGACAGATCAAGTAATTTTATAAGTAATTTTTTTACAGTGAAAAATGCATTTTATTATTAAACAGAATATTATTTACAGATTTGAGATAGGCCATTAATACCAGTGTTAAACCTTTGTTTTGTGCCATTTTTCAATAAGTATCGAGAGAATATATATAATTGATTTTACCGTGTTTTTTGTACAGATTTGTTTAACGTGTGGCTTATTAAATCGCATTTTCGCAAGGGCATACACTTAATAGATCGTAGCCATTTTTAAAATATAAATTTAGGATATTTTAATAGGCGCTTGGGTTAAGGATACTGCATATTTTCTATATAATGTATTCTCGAGGAAATTCGAATTATACCCGTAATATTTTTTTTCAGTGCGCAGTGTATATTTTTAACACTTTATTTTTTTTTTCAAACAAAATAATGCCATATCAGGTTGCTAAGTCTAGCTGTTTGGCTCTTTGTTGACTTGGCTTTTTAATTATTTAAATTTGGGGCCTTGTAAAAATTGAATTATCTGTCCCTGGTACGTATCGTCAAATAAGTAAGAAAAAGCATTGACTTCTTAAAGTTCTCTTAAATACATATATATAAAAATAACTGAAACAAACTACGTTGAACAATTATTTATTTTATTCTGTCAAGGTGGAAAAAGGGCCAAGCACGGCCCGTAGTCGATTGGATTTCTTAACTTGAATACTCCGGATACTGAATCAGTCGCGTCAAGATTTACGAAATGACGTCACATCGACAAGTGCATTGAGATCAGTGACTTGTTTATAACTTGTTATGTGGGATTTAACTAATGAAAAAACAGCATGATGTAGTAAGTTTTTATTTAGTAGTTTAATGGTGTCCTACGAATTAAAATAGCAAATCACTTCATTTTGTGGTATTTTTAAGAATTGTTGGTTTTGTATGATGTCATAGTTGAGTTTTCTCGTACAAATTAGGCTTCACCCCCTTTTTGTAACCTTAGCAGCGCTGAGATGCTTTTTTTGTGTAGTGCGTCATCAAAAAATGGTGTAATGAGCCTCCTATAACTTTTAATTTTAACTAGGTTTATCCTTGCAATATTGAAATTTGTTTATTACTTGTACCTCCATTCAGTACACATAATATATGCATTTATCTTGTGACTCCCCATTGATGGGACCAAACTTTATTCAGTACAGAGTGGGTATACTAAATTACTCCAATAAGTATTTAAGTTGTAACGGCCTTATAAATAAAGAAATTCAGTTTTAAAAAGTTCCCTTTTTTGCACGTCTATATTCCATTGATTTCGTCATAGTAAACATTAAGTTAACAATGATTAACAATGTTGTATTTTTATACTTGTTCTTCATTATTATAAGTCTTTAGAAGCGAACTGTGTCATTTTAGATTGTATGGTAGTGATTGATACATCGACAAAATACTGGCTTGAGTTAAGAACCCTCTCTACACTGCACACTTAAGAGTTCTGATTCTATGGTAATTTGCTGCAGTTAGAGTGATCTGCACTTAGATCTAGAATAAATAGAAATTTATATATAAAAATAGAAAAAAAAAACATTTTGAAAGGCCAATGGCAAGATGAATTAATTGAACATATTATCATACATGTATTTTCCCCGAGAAAGTAAACAGCAATTATTTCTGTTCACTGAATACTGTGTTGTGTTTGAACATTTTTCTTGGGGGTAAATGCCACGTACCATATATTGAAAATTGAATATATAACCTCAATAATTACACATTTTTTCAATATAATTTTCTCAATTTTTATAAAAACATTTTTCACTGGTGTAGAGAGGGTCCTTAAGAACCTTGTGGTAAAAATAAGTAGGAGGTGTATATGGAAGAAGTGACCTGAATACTCATACAAGAATCAAATGCACGAATCATCGTCCGATATTGCTTTTGACCTGTCTCTTCAAGTAATATGTGAATTTTATATTGAATACACCGTTTTAAGGTCTATCTTTCTTTCATTTTCATACTTTCATATATTATAACAATTCTTTGTGTGTCGTTTTTTGTAGATAAAGATACAGCAGAGGCATTTAAATATATTACTACATTGGCAAACTATATCCGATATCGTCTTGTCGCTTTGTGTGATGAAACCAACCTCAGAAATAAATTGCTACTTCATTCAGAATCCCTTAAACAAAATTTTGATGAAAAAACGATTACTCAATTGATGTCTTCCAGTTTAGATGAGCTGATGAAGTCCAGTCTGAATATAATTTACATGCTGCTGACTAATTTTTGTAACATTCCAACTCCTCGTCGAGGCTGGGGGTACAGGCCTGATGACGATGATGAGTCTCTGGGAGCTGATATTGAAAGAATTAGAACCTTTATTAATGAATACGTGGATACCAGAAGTTGCTTTTTAAAGGAGATGAAGATGGTGAAAGAAAGATTGCTTTCGAAATACGAGAAAATTGAATTGGATATGGACTTTGATTTAAGCCACGAGCAGAAAATCAATTGTTAGTATCTAAATTAAAATTCTTATTTGTGACACTATATAACTTCTTATTTCATGCAGAAACATACTTCTAAAAGTTGAACTATAAGATTACATTGAATACATTTCGATTAAAAATCGTACGACTTTTATAGAGTTTCGAAAAAACAACAAACATCTTTACCAAGTTTGTTAAAAAGTATAATTTATATGTGATACATGGTACGTAGTTTGATGAAGAAAAAAGGTTAAAATTTGTTAAAAATTCGATTTTAAACATTTACTGACTGTGTTCGAGGGCAACATGCGTTTTGTCGGACCCAAGAATCAAACTGGTAACCCCCTAACAAAAAATACTATAGTTATTAACTATAGTTTACTATAGTTAACTATATTTATAACTTTGACATTTTGAAAACTTTGGTTAACTAAAGTGATCACTTTGACACTTTGAAAAACTTTATCGAAAACTTTGACACTTTGTAAAACTTTGACTCTTTGAAAAACTTTGGCGAAAACTTTGACACTTTGAAAAACTTTATCAAAAACTTGACACTTTGAAAAAGCTTTATCGAAAACTTTGACACTTTGAAAAACTTTGACACTTTGAAAAACTTTATTGAAAACTTTGACACTTTGAAAAAAAACTTTATAAAAAAAACTTTCAAACTTTGAAAAAAACTCTATCGAAAACTTTGACAATTTGAAAAACTTTATTGAAAACTTTGACACTTTGACACTTTGAAAAAACTTTGGCGAAAACTTTGACACTTTGAAAAACTTTGGCGAAAACTTTGACACATTTAAAATCTTAATCAAAAACGTTGACACTTTGAAAAAAATTATCGAAATTTTGACACTTTGAAAAACTTTTGCCAAAATTTTGACACTTTGAAAAACTTGATCAAAAACTTTGACACTTTGAAAAACTTTATTGAAAACTTTGACACTTTGAAAAACTTTATCGAAAACTTTGACACTTTGAAAAACTTTATCGAAAACTTTGACACTTTGAACAACTTTATCGAAAACTTTGACACTTTGAAAAACTTTGGCTAAAACTTTGACACTTTGAAAAACTTTATCGAAAACTTTGACACTTTGAAAAACTTTGGCGAAAACTTTGACACTTTGAAAATCTTTGGCAAAAACTTTGACACTTTGAAAATCTTAGGCAAAAACTTTGACACTTTGAAAAACTTTGGTGATAACTTTGACACTTTGAAAAACTTTGGTGAAAACTTTGACAACACTTTAAAAAATTTATCGAAAACTTTGAAAAACTTTGGCAAAAACTTTGACACTTTGAAAAACTTTGGTGAAAACTTTGACACTTTGAAAAACTTGATCAAAAACTTTGACACTTTGAAAAACTTTATTGAAAACTTGACATTTTGAAAAACTTTATCGAAAACTTTGACACTTTAAATCTCTTAGGCGAAAACTTTGACACTTTGAAAAACTTTGACACTATGATAAACTTTGGCGAAAACTTTGACACTTTGAAAGACTTTGGTGAAAACTTTGACACTTTTGAAAAACTTTGTCAAAAACTTTGACACTTTGAAAAACTTTGATGAAAACTTTGACACTTTGAAAAACTTTGGCGAAAACTTTGACACTTTGAAAAACTTTGGCGAAAACTTTGACACTTTGAACAACTTTATCGAAAACTTTGACACTTTGAAAAACTTTATCGAAAACTTTGACACTTTGAAAAACTTCATCGAAAACTTTGACACTTTGAAAAACTTTGGCGAAAACTTTGACAATTTGAAAAACTTTATCGAAAACTTTGACACTTTGAAAAACTTTGGCGAAAACTTTGACACTTTGAAAATCTTTGGCAAAAACTTTGACACTTTGAAAAACTTTGGCGAAAACTTCGACACTTTGAAAAACTTTGGTGAAAACTTGGACACTTTGAAAAACTTTGGTGAAAACTTTGACACTTTAAAAAATTTATCGAAAACTTTGAAAAACTTTGGCAAAAACTTTGACACTTTGAAAAACTTTGGTGAAAACTTTGACACTTTGAAAAACTTGATCAAAAACTTTGACACTTTGAAAAACTTTATTGAAAACTTGACATTTTGAAAAACTTTATCGAAAACTTTGACACTTTAAATCTCTTAGGCGGAAACTTTGACACTTTGAAAAACTTTGACACTTTGATAAACTTTGGCGAAAACTTTGACACTTTGAAAGACTTTGGTGAAAACTTTGACACTTTTGAAAAACTTTATCAAAAACTTTGACACTTTGAAAAACTTTGATGAAAACTTTGACACTTTGGAAAACTTTGGCGAAAACTTTGACACTTTGGAAAACTTTGACACTTTGAAAAACTTTCGCGAAAACTTTGACACTTTGAAAAACTTTGACGAAAACTTTGACACTTTGATTTACTATAGTTAACCATAGTAAACTATAGTTAACAATAGTTTGTTTTTGTTTGGGTGGCCTCAGGCAGACAGCTTGGTTCGAGGGTCGACAAAACGCAGTTTGCCTGAGAACACAATCAATCTTTTGTTATACCTTTTTAATATTTTTTGACATATCTTAAACCGTTTTCCGTGATGTATCTTCAGTTCCTTCACTGTTGAACACGAACGAATGCAAATGATTAAGCTTCGCCATTGTGTGACGAAAGCGGTCCAACATCTTATCGACTGGTCCAACATCTCGACAGTCAAACATCGATTTTTATTTATGCCCGCCCAGTAAAACATTAAAAATGTTGGACTTTTTCCATATTGATTTATACTGAAACACATTTTTAACGGTATAACAAAAATATTACTAGATAAGCTTCATTTACATTGGATTGTTTAAGATATTTTTGGCTGTTACTTGCTCGACATTGTTTTTATTTCCAATATTTCTTTTAATCATTGTGAAAGATGTATCAAAAACAGATCTATTCATCGGAAATATCTATTTTAGATGTTAAAATCAAACCAGATTGCATAGAAGACGACGGAATTGTCGTGACCAAAGCTATTGAAGAGATTTTAAAACATCTCGATTCAAAGGGAATCGCAATCTGTGTGGGATCCATTGGGTGTGGAAAGACAACTGCTTTAGATTATGTATCAAAGAAGTACAAAGAAGAAGGATGGCAGATTGAATGTTGTGACAATTTCAATTTTGTAGAAAAATCACGTATTGATGCTGCGCTTACAACAAGGAAAACGGTTCTTTTTTGTGATAATCTATTCGGAACTTTCGGATGCCAGGTGTTTTCCAAACAAGTATTCAGAGATTTTGAATATGTTATTCGTACATTGTTAAATCAAGATAAAAATAAACTTAAAATACTTCTTGGTATCCATGTTCATGTTTTGGATGAAATCAATAGAATCGGGTGTGGCAGTACCCTCCAAGATAAAAGTAGGATTATAGAATTGGACAATCTTTCAAAATCGGAAATACTTCACATTTATCAATTACAGCAAAGAAGTAGTAATTGTAACCAACTACCTACGTCATACACGGATGTACTGGATTTTCTTGAATATAGTTCCGATTCTATTGGAAAACCATTTAGACCTTAATGATTTCAACACTACCTGATGAAATGGAACGCAAAGCAATTTGCAACCAACCATTAGAAAAACTAATTGACCACTTTAAAAAGTTGTTTAATAGGGATCCAGATGCCTTTTTCTCGCTCGTGTTTATCATGTGTGTAATGGTTTACAACAAGGACAAAGACATTGATGGTTCGGTGTCTGCTACAATTGGTGCTAATCTTGATAAAAATACTATTGACCATTATCTGAAGGATTTTACTCCATTTACAGTCGAAGATGAGTATACAGTAGAGTTGAAGCATGAACTGATTGGTATTGCTCTATTTCACGCATTCTTTGAGATCACGAAAAGTCCTTGGTCAGTCTTTAAAGCATGTGATATCAAAATGGTGCTAGAACTTACAAGACCAGCTGATGGAGAGTTCCTACAACAAAGATTCCATGTTCGTTTATCAGGAAACTATTTAGAATCTGTTAAAGTGGCTTCCGTATTTAGAAGGAAAATTTCTGATTCTAAAATAGACTATGAAGATCATCCTTTAATGATGTTTTTTCCCCAGTTGAAACCACAAGCAGAAAACTTATTATACGGATGAAGGAACAACAGTGGAATCATTGAGGTCTCAAAAGATTTTCGATTTAATATTTATCAAATGGTGACTCTATATAAAACATTTATAAATATAAGACATACAAATATAAAATAAAGGATTATTTGGTAAAATGGTTTATTTATGATACATGGAATCTGATTTCAAGGTTAAGGCATTTCCACCCTCCTGTGACGTCATAGGATTTTTTTGCAAAAATGTTAATTAATTAAAAATGTAAATTAATATCTTATACAGCAATATACAAATACCTTCATCACTTGCATACGGAGTTTATATATCTCAGTTGATTCGTTACGCAAGAGCATACCCTACGTATGAACAATTTCTAAAACGAGGTAAACTATTGACAAATAAGGTGATGAAACAAGAATTTCAGCAGGCTCGTTTAAAGTCATAATTTCGTAAGTTCTTTGGTAAATACAATGACCTTGTCTGCTTGTCGTTAACTTCATATATTTCATCTATTAGAAAAAAAATCTTTCGGATGAATGCCTTTTATTAAGTGTTATGCAAATAATTGATAAGTAAAATAATTATATAAATGTATATTTTCTTTATTAAATCAATTTTTTTTCATACTAATTGTTAGTCCATTATTTATACACTGAATCGACGACGGATTTTTCCGTTATTTCCCGATCATGACAAGGAGCACACGGCGGGTGTGACCGGTCGGCAGGGGATGTTCACTCCTCCATGGCACCTGATCCCACCTCTGATGTTTTCGAGGTCCGTGTTTGCTCTGCTCCTATTTTGTATTGTTTTATGGATTTTTGATCTGGAATACTGTTCGTTATCTCCATACGTTTCATTCGGGCATTTTATTGTACATACGAGGGTTGTCCCAAAAAGTCGTAGACAATGTTTATAATTTTTTAAACATGCAACCAAAACTAACCAAATATTGCAATTACATAATATATTCAATGTTCTTTAAAATTGTGAATTCTTAAATATATATCTTTCATATTAATAAAATGAGGACGATTTATATGATGGCCGATAAGGTCTGTCGGCGCACGAACAAAATTTGGAATAATTTATGCATACAACTATAATAATTACATTTGCTTTAAATCTTTAGTACTATGTAAAACATTGAACTCAAATTTAATTCGGTGAAATCAGAATCAATATCTAAATAATGTGTCAAAATTTCATATAAATAGCATTGGAAACAGACGATTGGTGTCATAATTTTCAAAGTGTTCTTGGAATTGAGTTTGATGAAAATGTCGTCGTCAAATACGTAACTGGCGCACGGATATATAATAAATTGTTTTGAATATGGTTTGTATACATCAGAGACGCGAAAAAAGAGTACAAAGGGACATTACACACTAGATTTTAATAGGAAAGTTATTTTTAAATGGCATGAGATTCAATGAGAGTTTTTACTCTATACCGAAAATAGTTGCAGCATGTAAGAAGTAGAGTACTCTTTGTTAAACGCAGACAACAGGGAACAATCTGGGCCACAAACTAAATCAAACAATGTAGATCTTTCGATTAAAGGATGACTGCACTTAAGGGGGATGTACGGCCACCTTTAGTGCTGTGAGAACAAAATGTAAACATTTCTCCAAATGGCTAAAATACATCATATTTTGATCAAATTTTAAGTCCTTATGATAAAGATACAATAAATATTCATAATTGAATGCATGTTGTGCATATATAATCTATACTTTTGCAGAAAAATGCTTTTGATATGCTCCTTAGAACTGCGCAGCTACAGAATTCAGCAGAGCCTTAAAAAATCCAAAAAAATATGCAAACTGTGCATCAATGTTCTCTCTACAACCATTTGTTGAGAAAATGTCTAAATTTTGCACTTTTAAATGATAATTTCAAGTTCAAAACAATGTATCGTTGTCTTCAAAAGAGTGTAAAGAACCATGAAAGTAGTTCATGGATAGCAGCACGTGGTTTATTTTTAGCACAGAATTTTGTTTTCCAGACCTCTTCTTAATATGGGGGGACATAACAATCTTTAAATGAGAAGAG